AAAAAAAGGATGTTTTTCTTCACAAAATCAAGATCATCAAGAACAGTCCACCATTACCATGATGAAGAAAAGGAGTCCAAGAAGTGCATTAATAGCCAAGAAAATTGTGTTTCATTTACAGTTTGGAGAAAATCACTTGTTTTCAGCTGCAAAGGGTTCACTGTAATTGGCTCAGATGGCAGTTTGGTCTATAGAGTTGATAACTACTCGGGCCGACCCGATAAAATCGTGCTCATGGATGGGCCGGGCCATCCTATCTTCACAATATCTCGTCGCAAGGTATATATTATATATATATATATATATAATGAGTGTTTTGTTCTTCATGTGATGATGTATTTTTTCTCTATACAAACATACTTTTTCGTATTTCTTACATTTCGGACGAATTAATTTTATAATAAGCAGAAGCTCGGGATAGCGGAGAATTTCTGGCTAGTTTATGAAGGTGAAGTGGAGGAAAAGAGCAACAAATCATCAAAGGAGCCTATTTTTTGTGTGAGGAAAAATAATAGCATCATGAAAAGCAAGCCGAGTTTGGTTGCGTGTGTTTATGGTGGGGTGTATGAAAAGAGATGTGTTTACACGATCCAAGGCTCGTATGAGAACCGATCGTGCAAGATTCTGGACGAGTCGAAAAGGGTTGTTTTGGAGATTAAGAAGAAGGAGGCAAGTATTAATGGAGGAGGAGGAGCAACTTTTGGTTTAGAAGTTTTTGATTTGATTGTTAGGATTGGGATTGACTCCACATTTGCCATGGCTCTTGTGTTGTTATTGGATCAAATGTTCTCTTGATTCTTTCATGGTTATGTAAATAAGTTCTTTTAAGGGGTTCCCCCCCTTTTTTTTGGTGGGAGGGTTTGAATCTCATGTTATAAAATTATCTACTTTTANGTTGGTGAGTTTTAGTCATCTACCGTGATGTATGCCTCAAGATTAAGAAGGATTTATGTTTTGGGATGAAAAACAAACTCAGCTCGATAACTAGTACTATTAGCCATTTTTATGGAGTTTTAGTTGCAGTCTCAAGCTTGAAAGAGTTAATTTCCGCAGCTGCTCTTTGTTCTTTTTGTTCTTCGGTGTTTCAATGGAAAATTGGATATTTCTCTAGCGAGATTTTTCTTTAGTAGGAAATTGGTAACTAGTCCCACGGTGCCTTTTGTGGTGGGTAGGGGACAAGTTTACTTAGTTGAGCTTGATAATAAGTATATAAACTAGCTTATAACTTTATTTGATTAGATTATAAGTTTTATGTATTCGAATAAGCTTGGTTTAGTAGGACGAGTTTTTTTAAAATGTTTGAGCTTATCTCATAAGTTTCTTTGGGTAACTTTTCATATAAGTCCATTAAAATTTTTATTTCAGCTAACTTACTATTTTACCAAACACTTTTAACATATAACAATATAAGTTTGTTTTTCAGCCATAATTTCTTTACACTGAGTTTTGATGGTACCCGAGGCCAAATTCCCTTGTTTGTAAGTATTATTTGGTTGCCTTCCATTATGAATCTGATCTTACTTGGTTTGTTTTCAGAAAAATGGAGCAAAAAATAGAAGTGACTTATTTCCACCTTTGCATCAGCTCTTTGTCCTTTATTACTTCATCATTTGTCCTTAATAACTAACAAGTGAAAGACAAAGGAAGAAGAGATAAAC